CATACTGAATGATCACTACTTAGACACTGATAGTGATATCCACACTGAATGATCACTACCCGGACACTGATAGTGATATCCATACTGAATGATCACTACCCGGACGGTGATAGTGATATCCATACTGAATGATCACTACTTAGGCACTGATAGTGATATCCATACTGAATGATCACTACTTAGACACTGATAGTGATATCCATACTGAATGATCACTACTTAGACACTGATAGTGATATCCACACTGAATGATCACTACCCGGACACTGATAGTGATATCCACACTGAATGATCACTACCCGGACACTGATAGTGATATCCATACTGAATGATCACTACTTAGACTGCCATAGCGATGTTATATGCAACAGCGTTGTGGGCACCGTTTCTGTAATAATAACATGACTACTCACATTATTAAATTGCACCTTTTTTTCAGGAACTTCCCGGACAAATCATATCGCCATTGCACCCAGATGGATAAACTGCTAGCGATGCCCTCTGTCAAGAGCGTTCCAAAGATTCCAGAAGACCTCGAGAAATACCAAGAAATATTTCTTAATTTTCATGTAGTAGTGGAGCTCTCTAGAAACGGCCCTTCACCTCGAATGGCGATCAATGGCAAACGACTTGCTTATCCAAGTTCCCCGCCAATTGTACGTATTCACGTAACAAACATCATTGATATTTTGTTCACAAATTTACAAATGATTGTCCTCACAACCAAGATTAACGGCTTCAGAAAACATTCATCATATATACAAACAATATATGCACCAATGGAACTGTTTTCCTCCGTTCCGTTGTATCAGATTTTCAGACGAAAATCTCAAAATTCATTACGAACTCTGCACAATATCACAATGCTAAATAGATATACATAAGATAGCATTAAGTCATTCTGCTTATTGTTTTATTTAACCATCCCTAATTACAGACATTTCCGGAGACGAACTCATTCAAATCCTGCAGGCTTTGTGACGAACTCACGGTATTCAGAAACATATGTGAATGCTCTCACGTTATACAGGTTCCCCTGGGTACAGTGGTACAACTTGTTCTTTTTTCCATCAGTAAGTACTTACTTCTTATCCTCTCCACTCATCACTCATCACTCTTTTTGCCGTCTTTGTTCGAACTTTTAACATATATAAATAACTACATGTTCAATAACTGTGAAGTCACAGCTTTAACTATATGCTCGATTGCGGGAGCTGTGCAATCAAATAGAAGTAGGATATCCATAAATATGCAATAGATATATCTCCCGATAATTACACGATACCGACGAATTATTATGTTAAAGTAGATGCCCCCTCACATATTGAGATTATGTAGTCCGATTACTTGCTTTATTGATCGCAGTTGGACATATAAAACAACCACCTAACGATTTATGTAATGTAACGATAACACTTGCTTCGATGTTTCAGCTCAGATTCCTGTTGGGTTATCTCACCCTATACACCTCCACGGACATGAGTTTCACGTTTTAAAGACCGGTTATGGCCAGTATGATAACGTTACAGGTATGTTACTAGACGTCACACACGACATCGATTGCCATGGTGACATGTATTGCCACAGAGCTACGTGGACGAATAAGGACTGGCATGGTGACGACATACCTGAATTGAATATGGTCAGGCCTCCTGTAAAAGACACAGTCATCGTACCCCATGGTGGATATGTCGTTATTAGATTCACAGCAGACAATCCAGGTATTGCACTTACATGAAACTATGTCAATGCAAACTGTACGCAGTCCCTATGAGCGCGGATGGGGGGGGGGGGGTAGGGCACAGTCACTTGGGTGCTGAAAATTAATGAATACTAATTTAAAAAAAAAAATCATCCGCTATACGTATATAAATAAACAAGTTGTGAAACATGGCACCTAGTATAATCGACACCTTGTCATTTCTTACTTTAAAATGCGAAACAAAAAGTTTAGAGGGAATCGGGTGTTATGTTAATAACAATTGTTCAAAATCGCTAACTTTGTTTTATGAAAAATGCACAAATCCTGCGTTTTCAGATGATATCCGACGACTTCGAATTCCTGAACGAATATGGCCAGCAGCCAGAATCAAGGGGCATTTGTCAACAACCAATCACAAGACTGGTTACGAACCACATCGAGGTCACGACTCGGTTAGCTTTACTCAACTGGTTCGTAACCAGTCTTGTTTTTGACAAATGCTGAACAGGCCACGCCTCCAACTGTGCCGTGCGTTCGGGCAAACCGTTAGGAATTCCTAAATGGAGTCAATTTGTGTAGTTTTCTTGATTTATTCAGCAGATATCAGTAAAATGTAGGTAAGGCTTTGGCGAAATTTGAAGGAGCAGCTAATATTCTTCAACCTGGTACTTTTTTTAGATTTTATTTTTCATTCTTTTCGTCTGTTTTTTCGAGTTTAAAAAATGTGAGCTGGCTGGAGCCTTCATCCTTTGTCCATTTCTTACACTAGATACCAGCCGATACCCCCCCCCCTCGCTCACAGGGAGTGCGTACAGTTGATCATAGTTCTTGGGCTCCCTGTGGGTAAATCAAGGAAATACTCGCTATTGCGGGACGCCCGATTGGCTGAAAATGAGTATGCCGTTCGCTGCACTGCTGCTGTCCCGGCCGATGAGGCTTTCGAGGTTTTGAACAAACTTTAGCCATCGAACGTAGGCAGCGAACGTGTCAGAATGGATATTAAGTAAGAACTCTGTTTTGATGGTTAGGGTATTTTTTATATGAGGCAAAAATGTTAGGCAAAGCCGACACTGAAACGTCGCAGCCGGGGTCGCTGCAGCGCGTTCTACGCTGTGAGCATTTCTACGCGCTCCACGCCGATGCTAACCGAAAACGCTCTAAACAAAGCTGTGCGACTTGTGAATAGAGAAGGTAATTTCAGTCACTTCAACGGCATATTGATCTGGCGAATGGTCAAATAACTGGCGTTTATAAATTTCTCAATTCATTTCAAAATGTTATACTCGATAAATTGAGTGGTTCACACTGCTTAAACACGGTAACTAAAAAGAGTATCCATGGCTGAAAATAACAATTACTGTGTGTATTTCGCAGCTTTTTCAGCAAACAATGTATCTATGCTATTGAGTAATGTGAAACATGTTACAATACATAAAATAAAATATTCCATAATTCAAATTTAAGTGTTGTTATTTTGTGGGAGAGCGGGTGTTAGTGATGTGATATATAGTATATGTGATTGTGCATGGTGGATGTCTGCTCGAAGTTAGAACATAAATTACAACACATGGTCATTCGGGCAATATCACGTTTTGTTGTCTGCCCTCGGGCTGTTGGTCATGACCATAGTGTTGATGATGCCCTCGCCTTCAGCTCTGGCGTCAATCAATATTATGGTCATGATCACCATCCTATAGGCGAGGAACAAATCGTGATATTACCCTCACAAACATGTGTTATTATTTAAATTTTACCCGCGTGCCTCGCGCGTTTGACATAATCTAAAAAATACCAAACAGAATAATTTGTCAGTCACACTGCGTTACACACTGTACTTTTGCATTCTATAAATTCTCATAAAATGGTTAGTTGGTTAAAAGCTTGAATGAATCAAACAAAATTATTATTGAAATTATGTAATTTGCCATTTCTTTGCAGGTTGGTGGATCATGCATTGCCACGTAGAGCATCATTTATTAGAAGGAATGGCGTTGTTATTTAAAGTTGGCGAAGACTCTGATATCAGTAAACCGCCGAAGAATTTCCATACGTGTGGCGATTTCCAGATGTCGGAAAAAGAGTTTGAAGAGAAATTAGAAGGGCCTGAAAAAACACCTTTCAGTATCCAGACGTTGAACGTGAAGATAAATTCGCAAACACCTACACACGGTAAATAAACATAACAGTTCTTCCGAAGTTAAACGTATATAAACTGATTGGAACGACTCTAAATTCAACTCGAACTCGTAACCAATATTGATCATATGAGTGTTTTCGTTTATTTATGTAATACAAGAAACAGCAGAAATCATATACGGAAATTATGATCACAAATAATACAACAAAAGATACAGTGACAATGCAAATGCAGTGAC